CATGCTGATTTCAAAAGAGTCAGTTTCAATCGGTTATCTTGGACGCCGAAATGGAATGCTCTACTAAAAGCATGTTGTTACATCATTCTGATGCATGAGAAGGTCACCATAGGCGATGTGAAGACACAAAAAGTCATATCAGAGGCATCCAAGGTCAATGATCAAAGCCAGTAGCGAAGAAGCTAGATGAACGTGTGATAAAACGTATGTAACCATCTCCTTAGTGTACTTGAAAAGCTGATTACGCCTTATATATGTACCAAAACGCCTGTTTTCAGTTTGCAACAAGTGCATTACCAAGCGTCGAAAGGGCTATGCAAAATGTATACAACAGCTATGCGATCTTAAGTAACTGTAAATGAATAATACACTACTTTTGACCATGAACAAGCATTGTGCTGGTCACATACAACCGGTTTGCATTTGTGTCATTTTTTTCCTTTGGCTGAGTTACAAAATTGACCTAAGGCGACCTCATATGACTTTTAGGCCAGCCTAAGAATAGCCTAAGAATAGGCCATACAGGAAATGGTCGAAATTAATTTCCCGCAGCCTTAGCGCTTATTTCCGTGCTCTCAATATTCGTCATGACGTGCTAACGTAGGTTTTAAGTGCATCTACCACAGCGGCCGCGCTTGACCTTTCGTGACCTTCGGTGACCTCACATTTAACCTAAGGTCAAGCTTTGAGTGTGCATTCCTCCTGATTTGACGAGACCTTAACAACAGTATATTTGCTTTGTGAGCGGCATGTGGAAGCTGGAAGTCAACTTCCAGGGGAAGCCAACTCACGCCCGACAGGCACGTCTGTCTCAAACCATCGGCCGGGTACAGGTTAAGTACTATGTACTGTAAGGAAAAAACCGCTTGACAGCTATGTAATAACATGAGCTCGCAAGCGCTGGTTTGGCGTGAGAACGCACTTTGGGCATGAGCTTGAATGTCTTATTTTCAAATGACCCTACACGGAAAAAACTGCGGACTAAAACATAAAGGGAAAACCTAACCGTCAATACCGCTACGATCAATGGGCCTGAGACCAGAACTGGAGCTACAACCGGGGCTAGGTTTGGCGCAGGACGCGGCTTTAACACGCTCACGGATTGGCAGCTGAATGTGACTGATCGGAGGGGATGGGGGTGGGGGTGGGGGGCTATAGCTATGGGGGTATAGCTATAGCTATAGGGACTATGACAACTTCAGAGAACCAGACGCACCAAAGTCCCATGTAAGGTAGCACTGTACGTGAACTCTTTTGTGTCGCTTATTGTGAACTCAATATTTAATGTTACTAAGATGAGAGCTTCAAGTCGAATTAGTTCAATCGAGGTCAAACTCCAGTGAGATATTCGAAGTGCCCTCACACCTTCACACGCGGTCAGTTTCAGACCAGATGCTTTTATAAGAAAAAAATCGCAGGAAATAATATTAGGTCAAGGAATTTCTTATGACCTTTTGACAGCAAAAATGATTAAAAACCTCCCAGGTAATTTTTAGGTTTGAATTTGAAGTCGATGCTAAGTATTCCGTAAGCCATGAGCTCCTCAAAGCAAAATATTGATAAGTCATTTTAGGTCATTGTTTCCCCTGGCCTTCATGATGGCATAAAAAGGAATCCTTCGGCGCCATAATAATCCCTAAGTACAAAATGATCGTCAAAAACATCTTTACAATGGAATATCCCTTTTAAAACGGTTATGTTTTCATCTTGATCTGATATTTATGCCCAAATAAAAGTCAGTGAAATTGGTCGCAAGACAGCAGCAATAGCCGTATTCCTCGCAGAAAAACCAGGAGAATGGAGGTATAAATGCGTTGATATTTTAGCAACATGCTTTTGCCGAAATCGAATAGCAAGCAAACATTTACTTCATTCATGAGCATTTACTTCTACAACCGGTTTCGATAAAAGGCCTTTATCTCCATTTTTCCTTCGAGGAATAATGCTATTGCTACTGTCTTATCTATTTGTATAATCCTCCTCGCAAATACACCCAAGTTGCGTAAGTTGGTCGTAGTCCTGAATTAAAGTCTCTTTTTGCCTTGAAAAATCATCATCATCAAATATCGAAATCAAATCTGAATGGCTAACAAATGTATGCTTTTTGATTATGAGAACCACCGTTACATTCCAAAGGTGATAGCGTGCCAAAAGAGAAAACTCTGCGTTCGGCAAGAAAAGTGGAAATTAGTTTATGTCATTTATGATATCAAAGCGTTATGCCATCAAATAGTACTGAATATTATCTCTATTGATGGCGTCAAGATGACACCATTTGATACTATTATAAATATGTATATATATATATATATATATATATATATATATATATATATATATATATGTGTGTGTGTGTGTGTGTATCTCTCTCTCTCTCTATATCTATATCTATCTATATATATATATATATATATATATATATATATATATATATATATATATATATATGTGGGTGTGGGTGTGGGTGTGGGTGTATCGGTGTGTGCGTGTTTAATACATTATTTGCTCTTAGCGGGGCCATAACCAGTCAATAAGTGCTGGAAAACCCTCTGCTTTCCCATAAAAGAACAATTTGGGTTCCTCCGATGTTGTTTACGATGCACGATGCATTCGTTTCGTTACATCTCCCAGTAAAGAACACCAGTTCAGTTCAGACCGTTCCCCAGATCCATATTCGCTCTTCTCGACCTCTGAGACGTTGAACCTATCTCTGCCCAGAGATTCCGTGAGGGGAGAAAGCTGTTTTGCAGTTTCCATTTCAGCGGGGTGGGTTCCCATTCGAGCATCGTGCATGACACTTTTAACCATGTTGTGCAGCATCACCCACAGTCCATGGGGCAGGGAACTTAACCAGTTGTTCGAGAGTAATTTAGGTCGACTATTTCAGTCTTGGTAAGCTCGCACAGCCGATAAAAGCCAGTGAACACAAGTATAGTCATTTCCTTTGCTGGCCTATATCACTGGCAACGTTCAGGTATTGTACTTTTGAGTCCGAACAAGCATTGGTTACCCGTTTTGTTGATGCACATCAACGCCTTAATTGCCACGCTTTCAAACAGAACGCATAACGTAATTTATGAGTTGGTCACAGCTTCCATACCGACTAACATCAGCCACTTTTCGGCATCCCGTTCTGCAGGGCCGGCCCAATATAGCTGCTGGCTTTATAAATCAACGGCCTACTGAACTTCCACAATTTGGCTTCCGTTCTTCTCTGACATTTTGCAATTCGACTGATGTATGTAGGAGCGATTAGCAACGCCCTCTCTCTGTTCTAGAAATAGAATAGCCAAACTCTTGCATTTTAAGAACAAAGCGGCTCTGCACAGCCATCTTAAATTCACCGCATTCCTGAATCGAGTTCTTGAACAGTGCATTGGAGACGGTTAACCAGCAACTGAACGCGCTGACCTTCTCTAACCAGCACCAAATAGCCTCCAGTCAAATTCATTGTGTATCTCATCATGACCGGTCACATCGCATCGCGCATTCATAGAGGAGGTCCGTCGCAGCGGCTGTGCCCGCGGGCAGTGCTGGGCCGGCGGCCGTTTGGCATGCATTACACGCCCACCTCCAAAGTTACATCCATCAGCGCGGCTCTGGCTTCGGGTCATCCGTCTCTATGTCCGGACGCACGTGTGGAAGCATGTCCTGCCCGGCACCCAGTCGCCCCGTCAGGACTGGGTATCTGCTGAGACCTTTGGACGTGTGTTGGCTCTTCCCCTTGCGTTACATTGCTTTGGGCTGCCGTTTAGTTTAAGTCTTGCAGCGCGGAGTGGAAAACTGAACGCCTGGTGGTGCTTGCAATGCTTTATTGTTCCATATCTGAATGCCCGGCGGTCGCCGACCTAACGGCGTGGACGATCTAGTCACACCACTCCAGTTCTGTACATGAGGCTGCTATGCTGTGGCTCTAGTCCCGGAGTCAGCCGTGCTTTGTTTATGGATGGAACAACCGGTAGCTCATATTGCACTGATTATCATGGATTTCATGATGCTTGAAGTAGTCCTGTCATGAATGGATGTATTCTGAAATGAATAACGCGGGATTGTTAATGCAGTTCATGCATATTGAATATCATACAAGAAGGTATATTTTTGGACCGGTGTTGCAGTTATGGATTTTCCTTGTAACGAAAACAAGAATGCTCAAAAGTCCTATTCGGTGCAAATATTCATGTTTTTGATACGCTGCTGAACTTTTCAAAGTAAAACAGGTTATGTTTGCCGCGAATAGTCCTTCCATGTGACGTGATTTTACAACATAACTTCGTGGTAACGACAGAGCGCCATATCGGCGGCGCCCGCGCACCCACCATTATGAACCGAGCATGTCACACGTCAAACGAGTCAAAAACGTCACACATCAGGCATGTCCAATGTCAAACAGGTCAAACATCAAGCATGTGAACAAGTCAAACGTCAAGAACGTTAAACGTCAAACGCCAAGGGTGTCATACGCGAAACGTGTCAGTCAAACATGTCAAACGTTCAACATGTCGAACGTCAAGCATTTCGAGCGCAAATATGTTAAAGGTCAAACACTCAATTAACGAACATGTCAAACATCGAACATGTCCAATGTCAAGCATGTCAAACGTCAAGCATGCCAAACGTCAAACATGGCGAACATGTGAATCGTCAAACCACCGAGCGCGAGCCGAATGTCTGGACATTTTACATTGATGTGGCTTTATGCCGTTGAGACGTACGTCTGGCTCCTAGGCATTTTACCAGCAAATGAAAACACAATTTACGTTCAGTATGCCAGGAGCACTTAAAGATGCTCGCGCAAGGATTACACGCGAAAAACGTTGAAGTTCCTGTGAAGTTAGTTGATGGGCTGCGGTGAAGAATCTAATATTTGCTTTTAAATGAAACATGTTCGATATAAAATTTACCTCCTGCTGGTGGATTGCATATCGGTAGCAATGGTCGTGTGTTGCTAGCAATAAACATGAAATGACCGGTCACGTTTGGGATGTTTCAGACAGCTGCGTTGCGTCGTACTTCACGGTCTGGTGACGACCTGGTGACCATGAGGTCGCTATTGCCCCAGCTGCAGCTGGATCCCGCACCAGACGACAACAAGCAGGAAGCAAAACACCCAGCCGAGAAAGGTTGGGCAAACACAGAGGCCAGGTAAGCTGGCTACATACCAGAGGACTCTGGTCACACTAATTGTATGCCTCTGTAACACTTTTGGGATACTTTGAATGGAGTGTTCCACATAAGTGTAGAGCTTTGAACTGAAACAGCCGTTCTTAAGATCATACGGTGCAATTCACAGACCTGTCTTTCAGACCTTAACCCTCAAGTTTTTTTTAAACTATACACACCGACAAAGATGTGTGGACTATTTGGCACAGACTACTTCAAGATTGCCCAGGAATCCATGACGCGCTAACAACGCCATTTAAATCCTGCCATTCCATTGGTAATACGGCGATCAAGGTCAAGAAAAATAAAATTGCTGAGCCATTGATATCTGGCGTTCGTAGGTACCAGTTTCAGATATAACGGCCGTCAATTGGCCCTCAATCATTGCTGTGCAAACTACGATGACACCATCAAAAATGACGTAATGACAAGCGTATTCACTAAATAGAGGAACTGTATTGTCTAGAGGATGATTTTCTACTTAAAAGTATAGCAATAGTTAGTGAATAGTAAGTGAACTTGTTTCATCATACCTTATTTTTGCTTCAATATCGTCAAGCGTATAACATTCCCTTGAATGTGGCTACGAGGAGTGAATATTTATTTTCTATCCTCGCATGAACAAGGATGCTTTGCTGTTCTTAAGCCTTTTGATGGCCACTCCAGCATGTTGTGCCGTTCTTTTGCACGGAACTAGTAAGCTGCGCATGAGATGCTGGTTAGCCTAAAGCTGATCACATTCCTCTGTTTCTATTCTCCTGATGGAGCATCAAGGTGACGAACATGCGCTAACGCATCTCATACATAAAGACAACACACATTAACACCAATCTGTGTATACATACACGTTGCTCGGTTTCCAAATGCAGATGTTCTGTAAATTCAGATCATGTCTCGTTATCTGACATTTCTCCTTCAAATGTGTTTTCCTCGTTGCTCTACTGTGTCAAAATGAGGTCATAGGAATTATAAAAATGAAACCCAGCACGTGACACAAGGCGAATATGCTACATGGCAAACACACACACACACACACACACACACACACACACACACACACACACACACACACACACACACACACACACACACCACACACACACACACACACACACACACACACACACACACACACACACACACCACACCACACAGACACACACACACACACACACACACACACACACAACACCCCACACACCCCACACCCACACACCCACCACACACCACACACCCACCACGCACGCACACACACACGCACGCACCACACAACACACAACGCACCACACACACACCACACGCACACACACACACATACGCACTCACGCACTCACTCACGCACTCCCTCACTCATCACGCACTCACTGCACGCACGCACACGCACGCACGCACGCAGCACGCACGCACGCACGCACGCACGCACGCACGCATATTTCGTCACGTCTTGTCGCGTAACAAACCCAACGCATGCCCGCGGTCAGCTTCAAGCAGGCTGCTGTGTGGCACCTATACGTCGGACTCCTTATATTTTTCAGGAGGCGATTCCACCTTGTACCTCTGTTTCTTTTTTAAACACTAAGCGTTTTAAACACTGACGTGTTTTTTTACGCCAGACATGGTTTCAACGAATAATCAGTTAACATGTAACACTTATATCCTGTTCCAAAAGCCAATGCTCCCTTTTGCTTCTAAACGCTCTCAAATATCTATTTCTGCCAATCACAAGCCCATCAATTCTATGACAGGAATTTAGCCAACGAGTCGCAATATTCCAACCAACGCAAACACGGTAACATGCATAATACTCATCGCTCGTTCAGGGCATTCGGGGATATGTCAGGATTTACTTAAATAGATGCACGTCCTTTGTGAGTCTGTATGGTTGGTTGACATGTGAATCCAACAATCTCATTTTCTTACTGCATATCGTCTTCCCTCCACGCAAAAGATAAGCGCATTGACGCAGCACATCTCCCTGGGATGTATTCGCACGTGTTATCCAAATTGTCACGCTGACAAAACCAAAAGATGCATCCAATAGGCAAATAGCTTCACAGCACATAAGTTGTCCAGAATCCCAGCCAGAGCCGTTTAAATCTGGGTGAAATCGCTATCATAATTTGCAATACCAGGCTATCGAAAGCCGGCAATACCAGATTTCCCAGGGCACAGCAGTGAAGCCATGGGGTTGCTGAACTGCCAGACTATATAGGCACGACTAAGGAGGATATCAAAGGCAGCCGGTCGTGTCATTAAGCGCTCAATTTTCTGCTGATTTAGCGACAGAGGCAGGTGCTAGAGATGGTCTCACTTTGAGCTGAGATCAGCCAAGAAGGAACATTTGGTTCAATTCGAAAGGCTAAGTGTGTCAATTATACTAAAGGCGTTCATAATCAGCGTGGTGGAAGGCTGGCTTTTGGTAAAGCAAACGGTTATATGGGTAATCACACGATCACACACTTGTGCGCCACATCTTGCTGCAAAGTGACTGCACAATGGGAATGGTATAGACATGCGTAGCTGTATACAAATAGGTAAAAGTCTTACCTAAACATTAAAATATTCGACATCACGAAAAAGAGGACGAGTAACAGGAAGAGGAAAAACAAAAGAAAGAGGAGGATAAGAAGGAAGGGGAAGAATGAGAGAGAGAGAGGGATAGAGAGGAAGAGAGAGAGAGGGAGAGAGAAAGAGGGAGGGGGAAAGGGTTAGAGAGGAAGAGAGAACAAGAGAGAGAGGGGGAGAGAGAGAGAGAGAGAGAGAGAGAGAGAGAGAGAGAGAGAGAGAGAGAGAGAGAGAGATAGAGAGATAGAGAGAGAGAGAGAGAGAGACCGGGGCGTGTTTTGCCTCTGTTGTCGGTGGTCGGCTGAGTGAGATTGCCGCTCTGCCTGCGGGAGACTGGCTCGGGTCGGCTCCCCGTCGTGACCCGACCCCGTCACCGTCGGTCGGACGGCGCGACACCGAACTCGGCAAGCGAGGCGCCACCGGGTGCATGGTCGGCTCCTTGCAATATTGGATGGTGGTTGTGAGGTCCCGGAAAGGCCTGAACTATATTCAAGAGGCTCAGTATTGTAGTATATCGCATGTGTATTCCGTATAAAATAGTACGTTTCACGGTAGCTTTCCTTTCTGTTGGACATGACGCGACAAACTGGCTGCACACAACATGCCATCTCTTCCCAGGTATTGTATATAATGCATGGCAAATCTGTCGCTTGGCTGGCAATCACTCGAGCATCGTTGATTTTAGGCCCCCAAAAGCTGATATTTTCTGAACTATCTTGCTGAGGGAGAGGTCGACACCGCACGTCGGTCCGAATCGGACCACCGTGCACGTCGCGGCACGAGCAGTCCTGCCTCACGGGACAGCACTGGTGACGGCTGACTACGCGCCGCTTTATTTTATCGGAGCAGCGAAAAATTGCTAATCGATTGCATATCTGTCAGTTGCAAGAAGACGGACGGAGAGGGAAGAACTGAATATCACAGCCAGTAAAGCTTACAAACACGCAGCGAGAGATTGCTTCAAACAAAGGCTCCTACGTGGCTGTTTATCCATGACGATTCATAACTTACAGCGTGACGAGTGGTAAGTGACGAATAAAGCATTGGAAAGCGATCTGCATCAACATGGGTGCAGCTAAGCAGTGACAAAACAGCAGGACACTTCGCCCAGAGCCGGGTAGCAGCCAGTAACAATGTACCTCGCAGGGGCACGTGACCCCGTTGGTGAGCTGGTCGGACAAGGATGTGGTGGGACAGGTCTGCTTGTTTCATTTCAGAGACGCTTTGTGGGAAATCTGACGTTGGTATGGAGCTTCTGCTGATAATGTGCTACCGTTTCCCCTTGGTTTTTAAGGCTGATGATGTATTTTTACGATTTTGTGAACTCGACTGCTCCTGTAAGTAAACCACGGCCGCCAATTCCGTTGCAGTGCATCCTTGTAAGAGATACGACCCCAGGTACGAAAGCCCACGACATAGGTCACACCAAGTTTCGATCATGAAATCGAATACAAATGTCTCAAATGCTTATGTTATAGTATATCCGTCTTCATTATCCAGGAATCGTCGAGCATCCCAGCTAGTTTGAAAATGCATTGCTCCATGAACATGGAAGTGGTATTGAATATGAGTGACGTTTGAGTGCGAACTAAAAAGCTCTCCTGAAATGGGAAAAATGAGCGATAACGAACAACGCTTTATGTTCCTGCCGCAAACACACGCCGAGTCTCCCTGCGGGCCCATGGGCGCCGCATGTTTCAAGCACGCTCCACGGGGCTCCAGTCCTGCGTCAAAGGCGCTTCCTCGCGAACATCAAATGCCAATATCTGGGAATGGCTCAGCTGGTTAGAGCGCCTGCCTCCCGATCCACCCACCCGTGGAGGGGCGGGATCGAGTCACTTTAGGCGCTCGCTATTTGCTGTTGACAGGTAACATTATTGCTGTATTGCAGGTAACATTATTGTTGACTGTAACATTATTGCTCCTCTCTAATATTGCCAGTTTCGACAGTTTCTCCGATCTCGTCAGCTTACGGACGGGTGGTGGCATGATTCCTCGCTGATTCAGCACCCAATGTAGCCGAGAAAATTCGAGTGAGGAGGCTGCTACCAGCTTAGGTGCATTTGTAACGACCGTTTTAAGGTCGCTGCTGTGATAGTGTCATTGTGCTGGGTCAAACGAAATTACATCACATTCCCCTTTCACCACGGAGCTACTGGTGGGTCCATCAATCTCGTGCCGCCTTCCCCATGCCGTTTCCGTTTCAGGGCGTGCAAACGACAGCGACTCTCAGCGGAGAGCCGTGACGTAACCGCCTCAGACTCGTCGTCAACGAGCGATGACGTCACAGCGCGTGCGGGAGTGACGTCATTGCGCCGCGGGCCGGGCCGGCGGAAGAAACCAGCCCTCTCGGCGCGTGATCGCAACTTACGAAGGCTTGAAAGCAACGAGAGAGAGAGGCAGAGGATGCACGGGCTGAACGACGCTCTCGAGGTGAGTAATGTCAGACACTGTGCTTCGGCAATCACGCGTTGACACAATCTCAATGTCCACAGAAGAAGCGGTATGCGAAAGCGCACGAAATGCACGATGCGATAGGCTGCCCTGTGTCAGTGGGCGTACGCTCGGGTGCGCCGTCGGTCGCGGAATATGGTAAGCTGGTGATAAGCTGGTGAGAAAGGTAAATGCATTTTTTTAAATTTGCCTGCGGGATGTTACAGACCCAACCGGCGTCAGCCGGTGTACATCACGCTCTTCACAGTGCTGACAGCTAATGGCACAAACCATGGCTCTCTAATTTCGTTGAAATAAGACAAAGCACGTCTGTCGTCGTCAATTCGACGAGACACATCGATTGGTAGGAAGCTCGTAAAACGGACTAAGACTGAGTCAATGGTCATACGAGATACGAGACATACGAGACGGCCCCAGTCGTGGAATCTGCTGCGCAGTTTCATTTTTCTCACATGTGCAAACGTAGTCCCATACGTCACGAGCGATTGCGAGCTTCATAAACAGTTGTATCCACATCTCCTAATTCCCCAATCATTAGGCCGATGTTGTATCAAAATCGGTACCACAAAAACGCAACTTTTGGACAGACGAAATTCTCTTTTGCACGTTGCAGGTCCTCCTGTAGGCATTTGCTTTTACCCATGGTACTGGTCGGACCAAAAAGCAAAGCCTCGCTTTCTTTACTGCATCAGCATGAGCCTCCTATTCTTTAGGTACGCACACGTACATTCATCCCGCCCTGCCCCGCTGATCCGGCTTGACTACGGGGAGAGAAAAGAGAAAAAAAGAAAGTGAAGTCATCACCATTCAGGTGTTCTGTCAGTGGCGGATGACTGCATCATCCCCTTTGCATTCGAGTCGAATATTTGCCATCATCGTCCGCAGCGAAGTGCACAGTTTGACAAAATGAATACACAAACATCTTTCTGCGCTTCTAGACAGCATTTTGCGATACGCTTTACGATCTAGGCCCTGATCTCTGCATTTTTGGTACTCATTATTGCCAAAAGCGCAGCCTCGGGATGACACCAGTGCGTGTAATTCTATATGACAGCTGAATTATCCCTTGAATGTAGAGGAAGACACCTCAGGAGCTTCAGATAATGCAGTATTTGACCCCTGACGTGTGCATCGGTTTGCTTTGCATGGAACCACATTGGTACGTAATTGTGTAGCAATTACCTCACCATGAATGCTGAGTGTAGGGATTTGCAGTCGAAGTACATGTTTGTAGCAAACGTGCACCGAGGGTAATCCACTTGTAAAGAGTAAGTATTAACTACGTAATAGTATAAGTAGTAGTAGTGACATTTTCTATGTGAGCGGTTCTACATGTTGAGTGGTATGGTAGTGATAAGGATATGTTGCTGTATCTGAACAAGTGAATTCGTGTATTTATGCATCGAGAAAGGTTTTGGTAGGCCAAGGAAATATATTTCCAGTAGACATATATCTTGATTCGTCCCATGCATAAACATGGATTTTTTTGTAAGTTGAACGACGCCACCCCCGAACTCCCATGATCGCAGCGAATTTAAAATTGCATTTTTTTCGCTGGCTAAATTCCACCCGGCAAAATTGTCACCAGGAGCATAACACGATGTTGTATAGCATAAAATGCCACGTCATTGCCTATTTAACAAAATGTCCATGGTTTTCAAAGCGATGCAATCTGTGACCAATCCAATATAATATCAAAATGAATTACGTCGTCCCTCTCCATGCAGGTGTTATTGAATGCGAACGGTGTTAAGGCAAAGAAAAAGGAATGCGTTAGAAAATACCCAGCCATTGCTCAGCCAGCGCCAGCATGGGCTAACCTGAACAACACCCTTCCGAATCTTTCGCTCCAGGCTGAAATATGATTGCTATAAGTGCCAAAAAAACCTTAGTCGCTTATGAAAATTCATAAAGCGCCTGCGCGATTCATCGCAAGCTTCGAAGACCCCCAGCGGTGCAAATTGTAAGTGGTCTGACGTCGCGCAGTGACCTGGGAAGGTAGACTGTGCCGCGGTACCGAACCGTAGCGCGGCGCAGGCGACACTGACAGTGAAATGGCTGCTGTGCGGCGCCGACTGGATCGAAGAGGACGTGACCGATCCGCTCACAAGAATGTACCGCACCAGCACCACGCAATTGTCCCCGGAGCTGCGCTGACGGGGGGGGGGGGGGGGAGGCGGATAGGATAGGTGCCGCGTAGGCCGTGGTCCATCCACCTTTTTTGAGTATGGCATTAACCCCATCATCGTGCGTGGGAGGTGCTGAATTGAAAAAGGAATGTCCAAACAACGTGTGGAACGTTCTCACACCCCTGTCCATGCTTACATTCGCACAGAAGAAAGCAAGAGCGTCAACAGCTACCGCTTCCAATTCTAACAGCTGTCAAGCTTTCTCACAATACACTCGGTTGCTCTTATCCACTTTTTTGGTTAAAATATAGTTCCAAGTTCGAACGGTGCGCTGGAACTTCCGACCGACCGATAACCTTAGCGAGCGTGGGCATACTCTATCGACGCACAGAATTCAACAATTTTGCCCAACAACACGCCAGTTTTCATCAGTCTGGAAACTTCTCTCTGCCACTGCGATGGCGACGCCGTGGCACAACGCCTCGGGCACTCCCTGAACGGCGTCGTCTCGACGCTCGCCATCCCAGGTGAGCGGCAAAGCCCCCCCCCCCCCACCCCTCCTCCTCCCCCACCCCACCCTCCGCCTTGCCCTCCTTCCCGCGAGGCCCTGGGCGATACACAGTAAATATGGTGGGAGTTGGCTGCCTGTCGCCACCAATCCAATCACCACGCGGCGCCAATGGACCTCAGCACGAGGCGGCGCTCGCGCACGAGTGTCGCTGCAGGCCTAGAGCCGGGCGGCCGGTGTGGGCGGCGTTGAACATCCGCCTTCCGGAGTTGGGGGCGGAAATCAATACCAGAACCGCTGAAAGCAAATATGCGCACAGGTACCACAGTGGGCCTTACGCATTACTACGGTACCCCATGTTGGAAGATGGAATACGTCGAGTACACACTTGACCCCGATAAAGATGTCGAGATTTGGGTCCACTGTAACGAATTGTTGGAGTCGGCGCGTTTCGGCCGCTCGGCACCTTCTCTGTGCGTGCTTGTACACCTCGACCTTGTTGTTCTGTCCGCAGCGAGCTTAAGCAAAACAGGGCCACAGGCGGCAGCGACTGATAAGCCGGTGCGTACTTGGGCAAAATGCCGGCTTACTTTCCTGAAAGCAAGGTAATGGATATGCGCACTTTTGATTTGTATCGCATGAACTCGGAGACCAAACACAATCTCCTTCGACTGATGCGTTATATTTATCAACGAAAAGAATCGCGAGATCAAATAAAATCGGACTGTTGCCGGCTCGCACACTTACACGACGCAATTAAAACATGCTCAAGCTCGCAGTTTTGCTACACAGAGCTAGTCCCTGGCTTTTTGGCTATGGCTTTGGGATCTCGGCTAAGCCCTGTGCATGCACAAATAGGCTTACAGTGCGACTGCGTAGGAAGGCGCAGATAAAGACGCAGGCGGAGCCGCAAGGTAGGCCGCATCGAGTGGTCAGGAGCTTTTAGCTATACCTTGCTTTATAACGCGGACTGATGGGGGGAAAAGGGTCAATGCGGCCCACTGGCGTCTCCAAACTAAGAACGATAAGGCCTCACGGAAAAAACGGTGGATCTGTGCCAGTGAGACCTCACCATTGTCCATAAATTTTATCTATGTATGGTAATGATTGATCCCATTACGTCGGGTCAAATGTCAACTAAAAATCCCACAATTTCAGCGTTACATTCTAACTTTCTGAAACCACGCCTCACCCTAGCATTTCTCCCATATAGACAGATATGTTGTTTGTTTAGTTCTGAGCATTATTCCGATTGATATTTTAGTGTGATTCGAGCACAACTTTAGTGCTAAGTGTGCCGTAAATGTGGTAGTGTCAACCCGCTGTGCGTGATAGCTGAATTCGCCGGGGCCGGCCGCCGCCCGTGGATCAGTGGATCACAGTGCAGTGGTCCTAAATATATTCGCCTCTCACAAGCCATGAGAGCAAGAGGCACGTTTTTGGATCCAAAGAACGACCAATGAAAGCACATAGATAACCGAAATGTTTAGACGATCACGCAATGTGCCGGGAAGATGTATCCAGAAAACCATAGCGGGGGGGGGGGGGGCATCGCCACCGCCTTACCACCCCTATCAGGGCGGGAGTCGCTGCGCTGCGGCGAGCGCTTCTCGTGGGACGATTCGCGCCTGTTACCGTGCGCAGGGCCGCTCATCCAGGTCAGCGCCGTCTTGCGCAGCACGGTCTGCTGTCTGTGTCCGCTGAATGTCTGCGGTGGCAATGAACATTAACAGGTCCCGAAAACGCAGCAAGTCCCAACAACAATTTGGAAAGAGGCTTGCAGCCAGAGGTGTGACTTTCTCAAATAGGTTGGGGTTGAACTGAAAAGGTTGACCTAACAAAAGTTCATTTCTCCCGGGATTTTGACCACTTAGGTGGACGTCCCCAATGTAAAAATCAAACAAACTTCTAACCGATATTTCGTCAATTGTAAAAGGGCTTTGCTACGGGGAAACGATTTCACATTTCAAGTAAATGTAAAACTGCATTTCTGTAAGCAACTTAGAATACGTTGTGATTGACAGAACAAACATCTTAGTAATTCGAGCGCTTTCGATCCATGAAAACGAATGCCGTCCATCGTTCATCCAATTGGCCTGAAGCATAAAAAGACGGTTTATATTGATTCACCTGGCCTGACACGTTTAGACGAGAGCCTATGAATAAATTACAAGTGCGCTTTTACTTTGCATCTATAAATAAAAGTAGCCAGGAACTTTCACAGCCTCCTCAACAGACATGGTGGTAACTGGAAGGTCAAAGTCGATTCACAATTATGACCACATTGGTATCCAGAGTGACTGTCTAAGAAGAATAGCGTGACCAACGCTTCGACATGCGTT